CAGCAATAAACCTCTAGTCAACAGTGCAGTTGACAAAAATCTGACCGGCACCGCCGGTCTTGTCCAGTTAACAAACCGCTCCTGTGTAGGTCAGTGTTGGTTCTTTGACTAAACACAGTAGAGATTGGGTGGGGTAGTGCCTGGGGTAGCGCCCTCCCACCCCAAGTAATCAAAGGGATCGGACTACTCGTTACCATAGAGTTATCTCCTTTTAAACTATAGTCAGAGACACTAAAATATATTTTAGTGTCTCTGCTATAGTGTACATCTATGCTCGTTACTCGCCGGAAATAATTGTTGGTGTCGGACTAATCGCTACTCGCCGGAAGTAAACTACTCGGCGGAAGTGATTACTGGGGTCGGATTAATCGTTACTCGCCGGAAGTAGTCATAGGTATCGCTACTCGGCGGAAGTAATTGCAGGGGTCGGACTAATTATTGCTACGCGGTGGGGGTAATTGCAGGTGTCGGACTAACTGTTAATTGATGTATATATAATAATGATACTATTGATACTGGCTAGGGGTCGAAGCCTCTGGAAGAAACCATAGAGCTACTATGTGAAATCACATCACTGGCTAAAATATAATAAAAGTAATTGGGTTCGGAACCGATTCCTACGATTCCTGGCCTTTAATAATCGGGAATCTTCGGCTACCGAAAAAAACTCGGAACCTCCTACCTCTAGGGTGTGTGTGTGTATGTGTGTGTGTGTATGTGTGTGTGTGTGTGTGTGTGTGTGTGTGTGTGTGTGTGTGTGTGTGGAATCGTATTGCAGAGAATAATATAATATCGATACTCAGTATAATCAGTATTCAGTATAATATAATCGAACCTAGCCTAGCCTTTAGAGGTGGGCGATTCCAGTTTTTTCGGTAACCAAAGATTCCCGATTATTATAGGCCAGGAATCGTAGGAATCGGTTCCGACACCAACAGTTATTTCTGGCGAGTAACGACCCCTTGGATTACTTGGGGTGGGAGGGCACTACCCCAGGCACTACCTCACCCAGTCTTTACAGTGTGAAATCAGAGAACCAACACTGACCTACACCGACAAAAGAGAGCCTATAATATAGAGCTTCGTGGGCACACGTTACAGTTTTAGATTTTGAATTGAAAGATAAGGGAATATAAAAACAACGAAAAAAAGGCAAAAGCAGCTAATACGTTTTGACACTGTATACAAGATCGATATATATATATATTCAATCTTTGACAATGAAATTGCATCCCGACTACTATTTTTTTGAAGTTTTCAAGGGTTCAGGATAACCTCGATTTTAGAACTTAGCAAAGGACCAACGTTTTTTGGGTTGTTTTTTGTTTTTTTGTTTTGTCTTTTTTTCAAAATTCATTCTTTAAAGAAAAATTAAGATCTAATAGCGTCATTGAGAATCGTTCGTCTGAGTTTACGAAAAAGGGATCGGTTCTTTTTCTCAGAAGCAATAATCGCAGGAATCGGTTCTGGAATCAATTCTTGGCCCACCACTACTTGGCCGTGGCCATTTTCAAATCATGCCGAAACATCAATCACGAGAGAGAGAGAGAGAGAGAGAGAGAGAGAGAGAGAGAGAGAGAGAGAGAGAGAGACAGAAAGAGAGAGAGAGCGATAAAAAGAAAAGAGTGAGAGGAAACGAGAAAGGGAGACGAAAAGCAGGAACGAGAGAAAGAGAGAGAGAGAGAGAGAGAGAGAAAGAAAGAGAGAGAGAAAGAGAGAGAGAGACGGAGAGACAGAGAGATAGAGAGACGGAGAGACAGAGAGATAGAGAGACGGCGAGAGACACAGAGAGAGAGAGAGAGAGGAAGAGAGCGAAAGAGAAAGGAAGGACAAGAACGAGCAAAAGAGAGAGGAACATCGTGAGAGAGAGAGAGAGAGAGAGAGAGCGAGAGAAGAGA